TCTTGTTTTGGACTTCGCGGGCGTTACCGAAGCCATCACGGCCTCGACCACGACCAATGCGCCGCGCAACGATACGTACGTAAAGGCCTTTCATGCCGTCTTCAATCTTCATGCGTCCGGAGTACTTCTTGTCAATGTACTGGCAGAAGATTTGTTGTAGCTCGCGGTCTTCGTAGTCCTGGAACTCCATTCGGATTGGTATGCGGCTCGGAATGCCAGGGTTGTGGGAGAAGAAGGCTTCCATCTGCTTGTGGTAGCCTGCGAGAACAAAGACGACCTTGCCTGTCAAGTTCTCCATTTCTGCAAGCAGGTAGTCAAGCACCGCTTTGCCGCCGGGACTGTTTCCAGATACCAGTTGATACGCTTCATCGATGAAGAATACACCACCTCCTGCTTGGAGTATGTCATCAATGTGGGTCTTGCAAGCGGATACGCCGTCATTTGCAAGAGCTGATCCAGAACTCTCAATGAAGTGACCACCAGGCAAAGCTCCTACCTCAACTAGGAACTTGGCGTAGTGCCTAGCCACAGTCGTCTTTCCTGTCCCAGGATTGCCTAGCAGGGCAGCACCGAAACGCTCCCCTTTAAGTGATACACCCTGACGTACAACCGTATCGACTTTGGCCTTGATCGCGAGGAACTGCTGCTTGACGGATTCAAGCCCTATCATAGGTACCAGAGAGTCGAGAGCTTCGTTTTCTGCACCCTCAAATTTCTTCTGCCATTCCCACTCATCTCTGGCTTCACTCTTGTCCCAATCAGGCTGGTCCTCGTCCGAATCCGACGACGTGGATTTGTCATTGGTCGGGGTATCGTTACGGTGATCAGTCGTTGTACTTGGCGCTGGTTTATCGCCTTGTTGTTTGGCAGTATCGGATGGTGGAACCGGCGTAGTAGTAGATGTCGAAGGTGCAGGCACTGGAGCGTTTTTGGATTTCTTGACCCTCTCCTGCAGGTTGCGAAGATCTTGCTTCTTCTGCTCCAGCGCTTGCTGGCGGTCTCTTTCCTCGGCCTGCTCTTTCAGAAGGCGCTTCTGGTGGTCCATCTCTTCCTCAATCTCGACTAAACGAGCGGCATATGCACGTTGTTTGGCCTCTCGTTGTTCGTCTAGCTCGTGGTCGCGTTGCCGCTTCTTTTCCTTGGCTCGCACTTCGGCTTCACATTTCCGACAGTGCGCTGGCGCCTTGTCATGGCACTTTCGAGTGGTCTTGTGCTTACTAGGGCATGTTGAGGAGATGATGACATTGCAATCCATTCGTGAATGGTCTTGCAACTGATGACATTGACGGGGACAAGCATGCAGTCCGCAGTTGAGTAGTTTGCCACATGGTTCAGAGCAGCCACCGTCTGGACACACCGTATCGAATTGTTCTTTCTCGGTTAGAAGCGCGGTCTTTTCGGGATGCTGCTCGCATTTGACAGGAAAGCCGTCGTAGACATGGCCGTCTCGCTTCAGCTGGTCCATAAGCGGTACCCATACTTCCTTGCCTTTGCGACTGTTCATGAAAGTGTCTGCGTTGCCGATCATGATCAAACCGTTTCGCGCTCGTGATAGCAACACGTTGACTCGTTGAGGAGACGACATGAAGCCGATATCCCCAGCATCGTTACTGCGTGTGAGACATGCGATTACGATATCGCTCTCTTCACCTTGATAGTTGTCGATAGTTGAAATGCGAAGCTTGCGTTTGGAAATGTTCGCGCCAGCCGGCGTCATCAGACCCGCTTTGATGAGCTCGTAGGAATCCAGATCGTTTAAAATGGGGTCATTGTCCTTAGACAAAGTGTTCATCAACAGGTATAGTTGACCCAGGTAAGGTGTCAGCACCACAATGTCTTCCGTACCGTAGCCCTGCTGACCAAGGTACCGCACGCATTTCAGCACCATCTCAGCCTCGTACAAGTTTTCCTTGCTGGACTTAGCACCTCCATCGCGGCCGTCGGCAATCTGTACCGCGTTGAGCTCAGGGCGCGAATGTGACACGAATATAACGTTGCTTTGAAGACCACGTAAGTTCGGTCGACCTTGAGTCTTCTCTGCATCTTCCAATTCCGGATATGTGAGCGACCGAACGAGGGACGAGATCTCAGGGCGCATACGATGCTGCTTGCTGAGCGTGGTATGTGGAACTCCGCTGAGCACGAGACGTTCGAACAGAGAGACATTGAGATCGTAGCCATCTCCTTTCTCTACAGTCAAGGCATAGTTGTTGACTTTTGGCCGCAGCTGTTTGTGATCGCCGATCAGGATGAGCTGCTTCGTGGTTGGGGTTAGAGCTGTAAGCACATGACTCTCCAGGATCTCTCCAGCTTCTTCCACCAGAACAATGCCTGGTGAGGCCTTGCGGATCTCTTCGGTGTACATAGCAGCTGCTGTGGTAGTGCATCCGATGATGCGTCTCTGACTGAGCACGTGAAAGCTCTTCTCGCGAAATAGTCGAACGACCTGGGCACAGCATTTGTTGTACTTGTTGGCAAGTGTGCTTACTTCGGTGACCCGCTCTTCAAGTATCGTCTTGTTCCACTGCGCCTGAAGTCCAAGACGGATCTGCGGAGGAACATTCCAAACGTGTGGATATGTTTGCATCGCATGACCAAGGAAGATGCCAGCGTCTTCTCCATTGACCCATCTCCTGACTAGGTAGTACTTGTCGATGCGTTTATTCTTTTTCCCCATAACTGTCATACCGTCTTTATTGTCGGGCACAACAAACGCATCGAAGTATTCTGAATCATCCGAGAACTCTAAGTAGTCTAGGAGCATCTGCTCATTGAGCCGCATAGACGTAAAAGATGTCATCCTCCTGACTAGTGCGTCATGGTAAGATTCCGCTTCAGACTTTTGGTCTTGAATCATGGTCCATGTTTGTCCCGTCATCTTGTAGTTGTTTGGTTGTTCTCTGATGGTCAGTGCGCGAGTGTTGGCATTCGACTTTGATCCCAGCCGCACGATCGAACTAGCAGGGATGCCGGCCTTTTGGATATCTTCCAGGAATTGATCCAGAGCATGATTCGTGTAAGTGAGAATGAGCATCGTCTCATTGGTACGATCGTGCAATATCTTTGCGATGAGTGCTCCGATGAAACTTTTGCCTGTACCTGGTGGGCCTTGGATCAGACTGACTCTCTTTACAAGACCAGTCAGCAGTGACTCTGCTTGGGCCTGGTCGAGCTTGATTGGATGAGTGCTTCCGATGATGTCTTGAAGGTCCTCTTCCCAGTGGTCGCGAATGGCGTTGACAGTCTTTGTCGGTTGGATGCCGGACGGGGTTTCCGCGGAGTCTGGCGTAAGACTGAGGAGCTGGTCTTCCAGTGGCAGTTCAGTCAGGTCCTGAAGACATTTCAGGACAGGCTCATACGCAAATACAGCAGTATCTACCTGCACAAAGCAAAGGTCAGATTGGAGCTTGCATGCCATCAGCACTTTGCCAAACGAGCTGGCGTCGGCTACTCGCAGCACTACAACAGCAGGTTGCTTCGCAAGGAGATCTTCATCACGGTCCACAGTTGCAAACGCAACAATGTTACCGTTGCTGGTGAGACAGCCCAGTGACTGATGCTTCAGGACGTTCTTGTTGTCGGCGAGGAACTTCTTGCGGTTCGCGGGTTTGACGTTGCGCAGCTGAGGAACGTCGTCTGGACAAAGAAGCTGCAGTGCGCAAGGCTTGGGTTTCGCCTCTGGTCCGCAGTCGATACCGGCATATTGCAGGTGTTCGAGAACCACTTTACGTCGACCTTTCTTCTGACCACTGGCAATCTGAAAGTCGTTACGTAGCTCCCCGAGAAGATCCTCGCGGAGTAAGCGAAATTGGTTGTCAACATGGGTAAGACCACGGCTCTCCGGGGTGACAGAGACGATGGAATCAGCGCGTCTGTAGAATGGATGCTCGGAAGATGCGAATTCGTCTGGCGTCGGTAAAAGCTTGATCTTGTGGATTTGCGCGAAGTCGTTGTCGTGTCGCCCGCCTGGGCCATCGACCGACTGGTCGAATGTGCTGTCTAGGACATGCTTGATCTTGTGCCCAATGTTGCGAATATCCAGCGAATCTGAATCGATGAAGGACCCATGCTTCGTGACGCGTTCTGCGACGTCTCGCACATCTGGGATCTCCTCAGAGCGGCTGTATAGCAGCTCGAGGAGCAGCCACGCGAACGCGCGAGTGCCATCGCTGGAAAGCACGTGACCATCATGCGCGTTCACAAAGGTGTTCCAGAATGTAGGAGGCTGGACAATGTGTTCGAGGACGCGCTGTAGAAATTGGCCGCCGTAGAGTTGCTTGACAGGGGGCTGGGCCAGATGAGTGATGACGGCGGTTGCCCACCCGTTGAGGAACGCGCTGTCCCCGGTGGTGCGGAAGGCAACGCCGACGGCCGCTAGCCCTGCCGAAGACGCGATCAGACACTCAACACACTTCGACGCGTCTTCTTGAGCACACAACGCCTCCAAAAATCGATTACTGTCGCCCGCCGTCTTGATTTCGCGACGACCATGGATGATAGCGTTGAAGAGCTTCGTCAACCCTGCGGCACGCTTCGCGGCGTCCTGGTCCGCCATGGATGAGGTTTGTATCGTGTAAGGTATCAACTGTTGAGAAAAGATTTATCAAGACAAGCTGATATCTGCCGCTATTCCATCGCTCTTCAGAGGGCGTTTGGTTCTTTTGAGCTTTCTGAATGGGTAGCCGGGAGGCCGCACCAAACCCCAGCGCATGCGCGATGATTCTCTGATAACGGGCTGTGCGAATGATTGGAAGAGACTCACACTTTGTTATGCGGCGAGGCATCAATCTTTGTCTGCCTGCATGTTCTGGTGAGCTCTGGACGAATTGAGGCCTACAGGCATGCGCTGTGCGACCTGCATGTTGAGCAAACAGCGCCACACGAACTCAGCCTTGTCTAGGCAGCATGCCATACTTGAAGCCGGCGTGTCGCTTTCCATCCAGCGCATAACTCAGCCTCGCAATTCACGATTTCGAAACTAGTCAGTACATTTCCGCAATATGGCTTCGTTTTCAGGCAGCGGCAGAGGTGGCTGGGCTCCACGCAGAGGGCGAGGCCGCGGAGGAAGAGCGCCTCACTTCGCAAAGAACAGAGAGCAGCCAAAACCGGATCTCCAGACACATCCGCTTGGAGACCCTGTGAAAGTGTTTCGCAGCTCCGATCTGAGTCTGAAACCAATCGACTCGGCGGAGATATCGAATTGCCAACATGTCGCGTCGTACAACTGGCTCAATGACGAGGTACCTACCATCGTCGTTCCAGGTAAGCTTTGTGCCTACATGGACGTTAGCCCGCCCACTTTGCACGTTTTCATCTTGCTGTAGTCTGCATACCAGATGGAGCTGACAGTTCTAGGTAAACCTCCTCGCTGGACACCACTCCAAGCCCCACAGCGTTTGAAAGAAGACGACGGACAGTACTTTCGCGACCCCAATGCTGCAAAGTATCCCGACTTCCCCATGGCACCCGTCGTACATGCTATTACAGAGACCGACCCCGAATTCGATGCTACGAACACCGATGTCTTCGCATGCGGAAGCACCCTTGGCAACCTCCTGCGCTTCGCTCGTGGTGTCGACAAAGCCTTTCGGTTTAACATCGAGGTCATTGGCGAGACTGTCTTCTTTGTACGGAAAGAGAACGACCCCAAAGAAGTTATCAAGGATATCAGAGGCTTTGGTCATACGTTTCCAGAAGCATACACCACATGGGAGCATAGTGTCAAGGGTTCTGAGACACACCAGCGCATCATACGATATGAGTTTGGCGGCTTGGAGTGTCTTGTACGCTTCGAAAGCGACGGCTACATTGATGACTCCCTAGCAGTCCGTGATGTCGCGCCCGCACAGACTGCTGGGGACCAAGATGAGCTTCTGCAAGCATTCCAGCAAGCAGCCATCGGCCGTTCGCCCAGCAACGCAATGGGTAAGCCGGAAGAGCTCAAGATCGAACACCGCGGATCTACAGTACCGCATCACTCCATCTTTGACCTGAAGACCCGCTCAGGCAAATACAAGAAACCCATCGACATGACCGACATCTACCCGGCGCTCTGGATGAAACAGATATCCAACTTCATCGTTGCCTACCACGACGGTTATGGCCTCTTCGAAGACATACAGGTACAAGATGTCAAGAGCGATGTGCGAGCCTGGGTCCGAGAGAATAGAGACGGTATCCGCCGCTTCGCAACACTCCTCAATGAGATCGTTGACATCGCCAAGAGCAGCACAAACAAGTTGCTCGAAGTGTATTGCCCCGGAGCGGATCGCCTAGAGATCCGAAAACAGTATGGGGACGGCGTACACGCCTTGCCTGCAGATTTGGTCGACAGGTGGGAGAAGACGGGGTTTAGTATTTCCTCTACTCAGGATGATGCTTCGGATGAGGACGATTACAATGATGGCGGTGTCGATATTGATGCGAGGTATGAGCTTGGCAGTGGCTGCGACGACGATTCAGGTTCTGAGCCAGACTACACTGCGTGTTCTGCTGACGACTGTGGGTACTGTGGGAAGTGCACGTACTAAGAATGGCCATCACATGGGTGTGCTTTTATTGTTTCCTCCCTAGCAACTAAAAACATCGACGTATTCTGCTCTAGCAAGACTTGCTTCAGTATGTCCCTGGTTTTCGTATATCTCTTCTTAGTAAGGCGACGAAGCTACATTGTCGGCACAGCCTGTTGTAAAGAACTCTAACTCTGATCGTAGTCGGCAAGACCTTCTGCGACGAACTCGGCTTTCTAGCACGATACCGTCTCTAGGTCAACGAGGAGAACAAGAAGCAGATCGGCAAGGATGCTGCCGTCATCTACCGGGACGAGCTGGTACCGAGGCTGCAGCATATACAGGATCTCAACTCAGCCCTGCACAGCTTCTTACAGAAAACCTGCGTCGTCCCTGCCAACGTCAGCAACTCAGAGCTAGAGAAATTCCAAGAGAAGGTTAAGGATCAAGAATATCTCTACCAAACAATTGCGATGCTCTCTACCCATGTGCAATCGATCAGAATGGAGTTGCAACATCTGGGCGCGCAAGTCGGGGCGGCCCTCCTTTTGACCGACTTCGATCAGGGATACTTCGCCCAGTGGGATATTGACAATCGAACCCCATACCCGCTCACAGCCGCCATTACTAATGCCAGGCGAGACATCGCCCATATTCCAGGCGTAAACAATGTCTACGACGAGTGAGATGTTGACTTCAACGAGAAAGATGTGAAGATTCCTGTGGAAGATAAGCCCTCAAGCCACAATCTTATTCGGATGCTTCATGACATCGTCCCGATGTTGAAGACAGACGGCAGAGAGATGACACGCCGTTCATACAACAAGATGCCAAAGAAAGAGGTGGAAAACACAGATGAGGGTAATATGATGGACGGAGAAATGTCCGACCACGAGTCGTTGGAGCCGAAGCTCAAGTACACGACGGGACGTCATGCAAAGAAGTACGAGACCTTGAAGGCAAAGGCGAAGTTTTATTTCGTGCTCCATATGATCAAGAACGGGGAGAAGCGAACCCGCGGATCAAAGACTATCCATGCCTATCACATGGTCCCCCACTTTGCGGTCATGCATACCGACTCAAAATACACCTCATCCCAATGCGCTTGGCGCGGCAAGACGACACATCTCTTTGGCTTTGGAGCTGGGTTCGTCGCCTATATCGCCGGAAATCTAAGAGCTCCACCCGCAGCCATGTTCCTTCGCTTTGAAGTTGTCGAGCAGGTGCTAGCCAAGTCGGTACAAGATCAAGAACAAAAAGACATCACGCTTCTTGACTTCTACATCACAATTTTTAACGTCCACACTACATCCAGTTTTACACTTCGTCGCTTCGATACATGCGCCTACAGCATACATCCACATACTATACTCTCACTTGCGCGCGCCATGGGTAACCGAGACTCCGACAACATCGCTTCGAGCGGTGCGACTCCACGCTCAAACGCAACGTCTTCTGCAAACGCACCTCCTATAACCAGAGCAATGCCTCTCAGCACTTCGATCGAGCGAAATCGTGGGGGATACGATCATTTGGGCATTGGCGAATGCAAGAGGTGGACTGATCGGACTCTAGCTGTCACTGACGGAGTGTTATCAACAGCCTGAATCGAACTGTCATTGCGATTGACCAGCCTGAACATAAAGACTTAGTGATGCGTATACAATTTGAAGGTGTATTCCCAAACTCTTGCAGTTGTGATTTCACTCATGGGCCTCCGGTTTGTCTGGGTAGCGAAGTCGTGAGGGCCATACGCAAACCTGCACAGACCATAATGGTCACGTGACAGAAGGCATAGCCTTGGGTTGGGCGTGTAGGCCAAAGCATTCACCCAAGTTCAGACCCCCGACTCTCCTTCGCGACCCGTTCAACCACATTGTTTCTCTCCTCTCATCCAAGCCAACGCAACCCCATCAGCGCAAGAATACAAACCATGCCTAGAGAGACTGCGATACCGACTACACCGACACGGCCTTCGGTGTGGGACAGAGTGCGAAACAAGCGGTGGCCTCTCTTACGAACAAAGTCCAGACTTTCGTTAGACGATGGAAGCGCGCGACCGAAGCCAGGAGGGCTCAAACGAATGCTGAGCTCACGTTTGGGAACGAGCGTGAAGACTCCGCGGCCTTGGTCATCCTCATTATGGGGCAGGGGAACAGTCCACGGTGCATCCGAAGAAGCGGTACCATTGACTCGCTCGAGAATCTACCTACAACGAACAAATTCAGCTACCACCGTGGATCGAATACGGCCGCCGAGTCACTACGTCGACTACAGTAGAGTCCCACTTGCTGGTCACCGCCGACGACCCTCACCGAAGAGTAGTATAGTGGCTCAAGCTTCCGAAGGAGTAACCCTTGCTACGGTTTATAGCGACGACGGCGAGCCCTCGGGGCGCGAATTCGACCGCCGGAACTTCAAGTCCATTCGAGGCATATCGCGCGCAGTCTTAGAAGAAACAACACTCGATCTCGTCGATCCTGAGAGGACGTTGTCCCCTGGCAGCTGTCGTGTTACACGTCGGACGGAGGGATCGTTCCATCATGCAGTCTTCTTGAGGATTGAGCGCGAAGATGAAGTTCCGCAGGAGTATGTTCTCAAGATACCTGCACACGGTACACCGAAAGAGTGGGGTATGAACGACCGTATGATGTTGGAATGTGAAGCTCAGTTACTGAAGCATATCCGCCACCATACAGACTGCCCAGTACCAGAGGTTGTCGCATACGACGGCGGCCTAAACAATGCGATAGGCGCGCCGTACATACTCATGAAGAAGATGGAAGGTATGGCGGCAACGGATCTGTGGCTCGGTAAACCCTATAGGATGTTCAAAAGTGACGATCTGCACCTTGAGGCCGACGACCCTTCGCCGGAGGTCGAGCAAAAGCGCGTTACCTTTCTGCGTTCACTTGCGCAAGCGATGAGCCAGCTCGCCACACTCGAGTTTCCATATACTGGCGTCCCTAGCTACGAGTATCCGGAAGACAAGAACCCAAAGTTCATCGCGCCGGCCTGGCGGTGGCACTGCAAGATGAACATGGAAGAGCCGACGTCTTATGGATCATTTGCATCCAGCGAAGCTTTCTTCGCCGCTGGCCTCGACAGGCTAAGCGAGCCCGAGAATACTCTCGATAGCGATGGAATGACAGAATTCGGTGTACAAATAGTGATGAGGATCATACTGTCTTTGGCTCCGTTCAAGCCGTCCACGCCCTCTCAGGTTGGAATCTCTCCGGCTGGGTACGGTAGCCACACTGTGCCGGTACGCGAAACATTCGTCATCCGACATGATGATCTCGACCTCCAGAATATCCTGGTAGATGAAGATGGTAATGTGACTGGCATTATCGACTGGGATGCTTGCGCAGCGGTGCCGCGCTGCACTGGCTACGCGTCCATGCCTACCTTTCTTCGTCGCGACTGGCTCCCAGACTACGGCCTAGGTCGGCTGCCACATATGACTTGGGCCATCGAGCGCTACCGCGAGGTATACACCCAGGCTATGAAGGAGTTCTGTCAGCCTTCGGATGTAAACTTTACGCGCAAGTCCGCGATGTATCAGCTGGTGTTAGCGGCCTTGGATAAAGACTTTCGGTGTAGGGATGTTGTGACGCTGCTGCTGAGGGAAATGCCTGAGTACAGACGCGTTGATGTGAATTCGTTTTGTCGGAGGCTGGGGCAGGGTTGGCCGGCAGCTGAAAAGGCGTTGAGAATGAAGATGGTGGAGTTGTTGAAGCCGGAGTGAAAGCGATCCGTATGCGCAGCCTGTATGACGTCGAAGGGTCTTCCAAGAGACTTAGTTACTCTATGGTATTCAAACCATGTCAATGCCATCTCGATGGTGATGGAAGATGGCCCCGAGATTCCACGTGCTGAGTCCAAACGGTCGTTGCTATGGGGTCTCTTATCGCAACGACCGCAGGCTTATCAGTGCTCGACGTCATCGGTACCGAGCACGTGCCGAGTTCTCACGCCTACGTCCCAACGTTCTTTCTCGCGCACAAACTTCAACCAACGCATCGTCAGATCCGGCCCAGACACACCCCGCATCGGTGAGAGTCATCAACGTGCGACAATCGTATTGCCCCGCAACGGCCGCCAACAATCGATAAACTATTTCTGTGCCACGCTTAGGCCAAGTCGCGTTACGGTGCGACCAAGACGGATGGCGGCTGTCCAGCTTCTCAGCTCTATCTCACGCGAGCCTCTTCTCGTAAAGCTTACAGGCAGGATCGATCTAAGTATCTCACGCGGTACATGATGAGGCGATGATACATGAACAATGTACCCTTCGAGAAATAGCGCTAGCACACCTGCAAGTGCTGCCGTGTCATCGCGCGTCCTTGTCCGGATGTAGTACCACTCGGTGTAATACAATGGGTATAGCACTACCCTAAGAGCATGTGCCGAGCTGGTGTTGTAGCTCTTGGTTCTCGAACAGGTCTCGGCTCATATTCATTGGGATCGGCTACCAATTAGGACGTGCTCGACTGCGTTGGCGCACAACAAGTCTAGCATCGCGATCCGAAGAAGGGTGTGCGGGAAAAGCAACGTTTGTTGGTATAAAACAAACACACCGTGAACACCTTCAGACACGAGCACCACCCACCGACAGTCGCTCTCGTCTTTGACTTCTTGCACCTATCGCGTGCTTTAATATCTTAATATCTAATGTTTTCACACGCAAAGGCAGCGGCTGCCTTTCTGCCATTTCTCTACTCAAATACCCTCGCTCAGGGCCAAGGATCATGGGGTCCAGTAATCGACTTTCCCATCATTCCCGTTGCAGCCTACATTGTTCCAGAATGGCCGACTCCGACTCGCATGATGGTGTATTCGGCATTCTCACCGAACGCATTCGGGGGTGAACGTGGCCTCACTCAGTTCGCTGAGTACAATTTGGTCTCCGGACAGATGACTACTCGTCAGGTTGCTGAAACCAACCACGACATGTTCTGCCCTGGTATGAGCTCCTTGGCCGACGGAAGATTGGTGATCACAGGAGGAAGCAATGCAGAGAAGACAACCATATACCAACCGGAGACAAACACATTCGCTCCCGGACCGGATATGAAAGTACCCCGTGGCTACCAAAGCAGTGCTATCCTCTCCAACGGAAACGTCTTCACTATTGGTGGATCTTGGAGTGGACCAAGAGGTGGAAAGCCAGGAGAGATTTACGACCCAGTACAGAACACGTGGACACTTCTTCCCGGTGCTGCTGTCGAGCCGATGTTGACAACCGACCACGAGGGTATCTTCCGCGAGGACAACCACGCCTGGCTCTTTCCTTGGCGCAATGGCACTATCTTCCAGGCCGGGCCCAGCAAAGCGATGAACTGGTACTACACCGATGGCGAGGGTGGTGTAAGCCCAGCAGGCATTCGCGACGATGTCAACGACGCCATGTGCGGTGTCCACGTCATGTACGATGTTGGAAAGATTTTCACTGCAGGTGGAGCCCAGTACTATGATCAAGCGCCCGGTCTCGCAGTGGCGCATCTGATGGAAATCAACTACGTCGGCGCACCTGTGACAGCTGAACGAATCGCCGATATGCACCATCCTCGCGCTTTCGCAAACATCGTAGTTCTTCCTGACGGCAAGCTCTTGATCACTGGTGGACAGCGTTGGGCTGCAGGCTTCACAGACATCGACCCCGTCTTCATCCCCGAGATGTTTGACCCCGCAACTAAGACCTTTACCGAGCTGCCCGCTGAAGCCATTCCTCGTAACTACCACTCCGTTTCTATCTTACTACCCGATGCCACTGTCTTCAGCGGAGGAGGAGGCCTCTGCTGGGACGACGGAACCGGCGGACCGTCCTACCACTGCAAAGACACAGTCGACCACCCCAACGGCCAGATCTTCACACCAACATACCTTCAAACCGGTGCTCCTCGCCCGATTATCGAAAACGTTGCTAACAGCATCGTCGCCCCTGGCGGTGAGCTGAGGGTCAAGATGCAAGGTTCGGCAAATGGTGTGAAGTTCTCTTTCATCAGGATCGGAAGTGTTACACACAATGTCAACAGTGATCAGAGGCGAATTCCGCTTGAGCCTAGAATTGAGGGTGAAGAGGTTGTCTTGCCTATCATGAACGATAATGGTGTTGTGTTGCCGGGAGCCTGGTATCTCTTTGCTATCAGTGCGGAGGGTGTGCCGAGTGTGGCTAGGACTGTATGGGTCGAGAAGGTCTGAGTTTGATGTGCGTTTGATTGAGTTGCGATAGATGAAGATACCTAAGTAGATTCGTAGTAGTGTTAATACAAACCATGATACCAAATCAACACATGTGTCAAAGTGTGAAGGAGGGGCACTGTTGCGGAGGATTCGGCATCAGAAGCTCGTCGCTTAACAAGCACTCCGAGTGACTGCCTTCTTTCTGTTCATACCAAGAATGTGAGAGCTATGAACGACATAAATTATTATTAACCAATATGCTGACCAAAATACATCGCTGGCCAAAGCACATTACCAAAGTGACGATAGAGATGCTCGTTTTAATGCTTCTACGAAGAGAACCTACAGAGGTCCTCTCTCCACGTCCTTGTGTGATCCATCCACGCTTCCATCAGAGGAACCCCCTTTGATCGCATCTTTTTTCTCCTCGGCCTTCGGTGCTGGTGGTGGTGGCGGAATCTGCGCAACCCAGAACACCGGGTATCGCCGTTGAACATTATTCCCCATCATTGCTGTAACCAGCACAACGGTCGACGATAGCAGCAAGACCGGCAAGAAGTACCATCGTAGCGCCCAGATATGCTGGTCAACACACGGCATGAGCGCTGTTGCTCCAGCAGGTGGATGAGTCGTCTTAGTCAGATGCATGACAACGAGAGCGATAGCTGTTGCCAAGGCAGCAGCGAGCCATTGCAGTCGTGGGTAAGGATCTTTTTCGAGGTCGAACTGGAAGATTGTTGCTATGATGACCCCGACTAGGCCGCTGAAGAAGTGGCCGAAGATTAGGGAGCGTGGTTGCGAGAAGGGCACGTCGATGGCGCCGTAGCAGAGGATTGCTGAGGCACCCTATGAAAACGTTAGACCTCCTCAATATCAGATATGCAAAGAGTCGGAGAACCCACAAACGAAGCGATGATTGGTGGTACGGCGCGACTCCTCATGTAGTCTGTATGCCCAAATATAGCGAGAATGACGCTAAGCCCACAGAAAGCGCCGATGAAGCCCCAGACACAGACGACCCATGTGCGAGCAGCTGGTGCTGCTTTTGTTCGGTATCCAAGCCAGTGGCTGATAGGTTGTGGAAGAAGTGCAAGACCACGCTGGATAACGCGCTCAACGGGCACAAGAGGATCCCATATCGGCATCGTGACGACGGAAGATGCCTAGTTTCCGCACGCGGCGACTACGACAAACACTCGAAGAGAACGTGTGACTTAAGCCAGTGATTTCGAGGATTGCCCAGTGTCAATATTGGAATGTAGTAGTGGTAGCGATGTCAAGAAGTGGAAATGCGGAAAGAGAGAAAGCTTGATGAAAGCATAGACGCGGTAAACAGAACCTAGAGAAGGGAATAACGACCGGTGGGACGTCACCATCGCGGATCGAGCCTGGATCATGCACCCCGGACTAATGGCGCGTGCCGTTTTAGTGCTGCTAATGACCGCGGCATCACGCTTTTTGAATTCACGATCTTTGTTGATGCCACTGTTTCTAGACATGACTGGTATGCGTCGACACAAAGACGACAGGACCTCTGGCCCTGCTGCTACACCTAAAATCAGGCTCTGCAATAACAGGGAAGATGAAATCCGCGCAAACAAACGCGCAAAAGGAAGGCTTCCGCAAAGTCCTGACGATGGTTTGCGAAAATGCGGAGTAAGCGGTTTTCTGTTAGTAATAATCCGAGATTTCGCAGAGCTTCGGGCGAATGTCGCCGAATTGCGGCATCACCAAACTCCTGCTCCTCACACTTCTGCGAAGGTCACTTTCTCGTTCGTTCGATTCGAGATCGTTGGTATTAAGGTATCCGCGTCTCGCTCAATGAAGCAAATAGGCAATCGATAGATATGTGTGGTCGTCGCATCCATAGATACGAACAGTCCTCAAGAACGCCAGAGCGCCGCGCTAAAGCCCAAAGATTTGGCATGCATCCCAGATAAAAGTCGTAACATGGTCGTCGCGATTAGACAGCCTGCCAGGTATTACTATTCGGATCCTTTGGCAGGCTATTGTTCGAGCCTTTGGTACCAAGGGCGGTGGCCACCGAATCCACCCTAACATTTCCCTTCACTTTCGTACTATCCGCATCATTACTATTCGTGTCGTCTGTATCATCTTTCACAGTCGGCAGGCTCATATCAGCCACGAAACTCGGCTTAGTGAGCTGGTGCTCCTTCAATATGCCCATCTTCTTCAACCAGTTCTCAGCAGGGCTCTTGAGCCAAGGAAGCGAACTAGCGATGATGCCGATCTCTTCCTCGAGTTTGGCCCACAGTGAAGGTACGATGGTCGCTTGCATCACGTCTCCTTGGCCGAAAGTGGTGAACGTTGTCATCTTGGCGCAGTTTATCGCGGTTGCGAGGAGACCGAGGGCCATGAGGAAGCCGATGAGTATCTTCTCGGATTGAGAGCGGTTCAGGGTGCGGATCAGCCGGATTGGCATGAGTGAGAGTGTGAGATCCATGGCGATGTAAATGCCTATCAAGCGAGTCAGTTGGGTCGTATATGAGTAGCACCTCTGAAGGTCTTACCAGCAATGACCCATCCGTAGATGACGATGGG